ATCGTCGATCTCGGTCTGGGTGCGCCCGCTGGTCCAGTACTGCGTGAAGGTGGCCGTGAGCTGGCTGTCCAGCTCCGCGCGGGGGTAGTAAGAGAGGAGCTCGTTGGCCACGTAGGCCTGCGTCCCGGCCTGGTCGTAGTAGCCCGACAGGTCCACGTTGCCCAGCGCGTTGGCTATCTCCTGATCCGTCTCTGCTCTTGTGTAGAAGTCCAGCAGGGCCGTGATGATCTTGTTGTCGACCTGGCTGCTGTTGTCGTAGCTCGACAGGGCCGAGGAGATGGCCGAGCTCACCTGGGCGCTGGTCTGGTAGTTCGTGAGCTCGCCGGCCACGAAGCTCGAGACCTCGCTTTGGTCCCAGTAGGGCACCAGCTCCCCGGCGATCAGCGCCAGCACCTGGGCCTCCGTCCGGTATTGGGACAGGTTGAGCGCGTCGAGGGCCGCCGTGATGGCGGCTCCGGTCTCGAGCTGGGTGTAGGTCTCGGATCGGGCGTAGCTGTCGGACTCGATCAGGATCGTGTCATCCAGGTTCTGGAAGCTGGCGGTGAGGGCCCCCGCCACGGACAGGTTGCGCAGCACATTCGTGCCCCGGAGCAAACCCAAAGGCTCCAAGATTGAAAAAAATCAATCGCAGTTGATTTTTTCAAGCGCCGATTGAAGATTGAAAAAAATCAAGCGTAGATGGATTTTTTTCAACATTTTCGGCTCGCAGAAGAAATCTTGTAGATAAAGTAAAAATCAATATATTTTTCGATAGGGTTTTTCTGAGTTTCGTAAAAATCAATAGAGGTTTCTTAAAAATCAATAGAGAATCTGATCGGGATTCAGCACCAAAATACAAAATCAATAGAGAGACGAGTGGGCCGAACAAGCAAAAACCAAGAATCGTATCATGTCGATCTGACAAGCAGACACGATTTGCTGTGTAGATTCTAGGTAACCAGTTTATTCGAGCAAAGCACAGATAACAAGGTTATAGCTTTAATAAGTTTTCATGTTTGGATAGACAGTTTGGGGTTGTGTCTGAACAGACACAAATAACTATAGTTTTCATAAGGTTTCATGTCTGGACAGACAGTTTTGCTTTTGAAAAAGCGTGTTATAGATTTAAGTGTCATGTCTGGACAGACAGTTTTCATTTCGGGTCGTGTCTGGACAGACAGAAATTAAAGTTTAGCTATAGTTTTGAGTTTCATGTCTGGACAGACAGTTTTCCTTTCGGGTCGTGTCTGGACAGACAGAAATTAAGTAAGCTATAGTTTTGGGTTTCATGTCTGGACAGACAGTTTCTCTTTCGGGTCGTGTCTGGACAGACAGAAAAAGTAAGTTATATTTTTGGGTTTCATGTCTGGACAGACAGTTTTGCTTTCGGTTTGTGTCAGCAAGTTGCTACAACTAAATACGGCATATGTCTGGACAGACAGTTTTGAGGCTGTGTTTGGACAGAGTCTGCAAGACTACCTGCAAGACTACAGCTGCTAGTCGGTACAACTTGCCTGTCCAGGCATACCTACCACAAGTTTGCCTGTCCAAGCATTATGAATACCATCCCTTGCCCATCCGGGCATTGTTGCCTGTCCAGGCATTACCCAGTGGTGCCTTCCCAGGCATTACCCAGTCTTGCCTTCCCAGGCACTACAACTGCCCATGCAACCTTGCAGCTGAAACCCGTTTTTTCACTCATCATCTCCCAAATCCATCCATCCTTTCAGGATAAGATGATGAGCCAAGGCGAACTTGCTGCACACTTTCAAAGGCACCTGCCAAGCAGCCGTTCCTCTGTCGCAGCTTGCAGCGATCCTCTTCACGATCGACATGAAGCTCTCGGGACCGTATGTCCAACATGTACGGGGTGTAGACCACTTGCACTGCTCTGCGAAGTGGGCCAGCAAATGATGCTTTTGCACTATGGAGTATCGTGTCAAGCTCTTCCGAAAAGAATGCTTTGCCAAAAAACCGTAGTGCACCAAGAAGGTTGGAATGGCGTTCTGGAACTTCTTCTGGTTGCCAGTGCTCCAGACCCATTCCGGTGTGTCGCACAGATCATACATAAATTGCATGGCTTTGCATGCCTCGTATCTGTGTTTTCCAGCATCCGTTCTCGTGTACTTCGCAGCAAGCGAAACCTTCGCAACTCAGTGGCCGTTTACTGCAGTTTTAATTCTAGGTATGGGCCTGACACCGAAAAAGCGCCAACAGGTTACAGGTTCAAACAAGAAGCTGCCACATCAGCGAAAGCTCGGACTTTCCTGCCCTTCACATGCAAAAGGCACGGGAAGTCAGAGGTCCCGTACAGGTTGCTCATCACGATCTTGGGAATTCTGCGTGAGGCAGGTATGTCCAGCTCCACGTATGTTTGCATGATCCTTAATCTTAAGACTCAGGCCAACACATGTCAAACTGTCAAACAGTATCAACTACAAAACTGGTGCAATCGAAACATTTCCAAACTCTTGCCCGGAAGCAGGGAGTTCAAGGCAGCAAGCTTTGCCGGCAGCGTTCCACGGAGCTCGTCTTGCAACAAATCATTCAGTAGGTTGCCAAACAAGTGTGCCTCGGATGCATACAGGCATGCTGCGACTGGGCAAGATGACTAGAAGTGGCTCTCCAGCCATTCCGTAGAAGTGGCTCTCCAGCCATTCCGTCATGCAACCGTGCAAATCTTATCATTACCTGTTTGATTTGACAAGAAGCACTGCAGCCCAAGTCCACCATGTGAAGCAAGTCCAGCTTTAGGGACCAACAGTTAACAGCCGGTACAGAGAAAAGCTGGTGGCCATTGTTCGGCGGAGTACAGAGCAAACCCCTCCAAGCTGCAGTTGGTCTAAAGTCGTTGAAAGGTGCAACTTTCTTGTCCTCGTCAAAAAAGTTGTCTGCCTTGCAGTAAGGGCAGGGGTAGTTGGAAGTCCCGGTAGGCCACCCAAACTCTGCAGCGAAAAACTCCAAGTCGCCCGCAACCGCCATAACGACTGCCCGCCTCAGCGGCCGACTCCGGTCCGGGTGGCGGCCGTTCGCCAGTGCAGTCAGGCTGGCAGCTATAGCATCCCAGATGGGTTTCCAACTGGAGCCAGTAGTTGCTTCTTTTGGAAGGCATGCAAGCAGTAGCTCGGAATTTTTCACGGCCTTGTCACTGATGACACATCTCATGCTCACCACCAGCATGCTGTCTGTGTCTGAAAAGCTAGCATGGTCTCCATGCAGCAACAGCGGTATCGGGAGCTCCTTCTGCACATCAAAACCCTTCCAAAAGGTCGCCGCCTTCTTCAGCTGAGGGTTCTTCTTGAAATCTTGCTCTGACCAATACTTCTTCAAATCTGCAACATTGGCCGTAATGCTTTCCAGCATACCATGCATGTCCAGGCACTCGAACCAAAGGTGAGGTAACCTCGGGCATATGGAGATATCGACCAAAACCCCAAGCAGCAGCAGATGTTCTGCTGAAAGTTTACAGTAGAAGCCCAAAAGTTGGAAACCCAATAGCCTCAATCCTAAAGAGCAATGCAAAAGGGAACCCCAACACTATTTGGCCTTAATCCGGTTTCCAACTTTATGGGGTTTACTTTAACATATGGCCGATAGAACATCGCAAACTCAAAAGCTCTTGCTCTATACTCTGAGCGGCAGCACGGGGACCTCCTTCTGGAGAACTTTCCTCTCCCCAGTGGTCAAATCCCTCACAGAAACCGGGCACTCCACCATCGTCGGGCTCGGGGCTTTGACATCCTGGAAAAACTGCTTCATCAAATCTCGGTGGCAGTTCTGGCTGGAATTCCCATATGACCCAATTGCAGCTAGGTCGTTCAAGTCAGAGGCATTGGCACCTTAGCTGTAGGCAGTGTTTCCATCCGGCAAGAATTGGCAGGGCCCGGAAACTCGACCCAAAAAGTGAGGGGGCCTTGAGGCTCAACACCATCCTACTGCAAGCAAGGGGCCACTCTTCAAGGCGGCATGGGCCAAAGTCTGCACTTTGATAGCTGGTAGTTTCCCTTCTGCGAAATCTTGGAGCAGCATCAACCCCAATGGAGAAGGGGTCCTCTCATCGCTCCTCTTCCTTTTCATGTCTGCAAAGACTCTCCAGCCGTGCAAGGATCCATGTATGGCTCGCTCTCGACTTCAACTTGAGTTAAGAGTGTCTTGTTGAAGGATTTGAGTGTGGCTCTAAAAGTTAGCCTTAAGTTGATGTCGCCCTAGGGGTGTTGTGTGGAAGGACCTTTATGCCTTTGCCAATAGCATGCTGGCGTTCGACAATAATGCAGAAGCTCCCGAGCAACGGCGGCAATGATCCTTCAATGGTTCGTCATTCTACATTGAACCATGCATGCTTTACGAAGCTGTCCAGCCATTGGTGCGTGAAGTCGGCGGCTGTCCAGCCGATAGGCTTCAACCTTGCAACATTAAGGCTGCTTTGTCACTTGACTGTCCAGTCATCGTTTCCTGAAGTTGGCACCAACTCCTTGATTGAAAGCCAGCACCAAGTTGGGGCTCCAAAGGGTGGGTTTCTACAGGTTGGGGCTCCGAAGGGTGGGTTTCTGCCGGCGCTTACAAACCCCAGTTTTGCATGTGAAACAAGGGGATAGGTAGAGCTTCAGAGAAGTGGAAAAATTAGGGCGAACATAACTTGCGAGGCTGCTTTTGTCATGTCATGTGACTGTCAAATGAAACTGCTTCGTAAGTGGACTGTCCAGTCATTAACGAGTCATTGAAGTCTCATTTTTTCAGCCCGCCTTCGCGAAGTGCAATCGCTCTGGTGGCCACGGAAAACCTTTAAAAGCGTGCGGGTCGCCGGCCGGCCCTCAGGAAGCACTAACACCACCAGAGAAACCTGGAGAGATCAATTTACACCCTCGGAAAACACTCAAAAGCGTGATGGTCGCCGGCCGGTCCTCATGAAGCACTGACACCACCAGAAACCTTGAGACATCTATGCATGCCTTGGAAAACACTTAAAAGCAAAAGCTTGAGAGCCTCAGTCAAGCACTGGCAAAATCAAAAGCCTTGGCCCATCAATCCTTGGACGACTTCCTCTTCACACACGAGGATTGGCAAAATGTCTTCGCCGTCTTGCTCTTCTTGAGGGCATCAAAGCTCGCCATCAATGCCGTCTTGACATCTTCCATCTTGAGTGACTTCTTCGCCTGAGCCAGGCCCTTCATAGCCTTGTCCAAGGCCTTCCGGGCACCGTCGATAAACAGCTGCTCGTTGGAGTCGGATGAGGACAGGCCCTTGAAGTACTCCAGGTCCGTGGTCATGGCTTTCTCAAACGAGGCCATCTTGTGCTTGAACTCGGGCTTGCCGTCCGTGTCTGCCAGCTGCGAATTCTTCTCCAAATCATCCAAGGCGGCTCGGGTCGACCTGGAAGAGCTGGACTTGGTCTTCGCCTTGCCTGCCTTCTTGTCCTTCTTCAGCAGCTGTTTGTTCTTCTTCTTGTTCTTCTTCTTCTTCTTATCACTCTCGTCCTCAGTGCTCGACGTGTCGGAGGCGGATGAGGCGGATCCCTGCTGCGAAGTAGCCCTGGTGATTTTCTTCAACACTATGTCCTTCACGGCCTTGTCGAGCTCCATCGTGTCCAGAGCCTCCTCCAAGTTGCCTTCGCCCATCTTCCAATCGTCGGCGTCGATGTCCTCGATTGCCAAGTTCTCCATGTCTCGCAACATCTTCTTGTCCACCTTGCCACCCTTTGTCTCGACTTCAGTCTTCCTCCGCTTTGTGTTCTTATGCGAGAAGCTCTCCTTGATGTCTCTGTACTCCAAGAAGTTCCTTTGTGGATGTGTGAGGATTAGGGCTTAGGGTTCAGGGTTAAGGAAGCTTCCGGTTTAGGGACTTGTTTAATCTTCAGGTTGGTGGTGCTGGTGCATTAAGCAAATGGTGCAACGAGCAAATTATCACGAGCTCAGACAAGTTTCTCATCCGTGGGGGACCGTCGGAACTTGAGGCTTCCATTCTGCAGTCGCTGCAGGGCTTCCTTTCGCCCGAAGCGATCGGTAACCTGCTTCCAGCTCAGCCAATTGACGTCCACTTTGTGTTTGTCCAAGGCCTCGAACTGCAACACAGCTTGTCTGTAGGAGCTGCCAACGTTGAAACCGTCCTCCATCCATCCTCGCAGCATCTTCTGCTGCTTGGATCTGGATCCAGCACCATTCGTCATGGCCTTGTAGGCCTCGTCGCAGTTGCTCGAGCGACGGGAACGTTCGAAGAGCTTCCACATTGCTTGCTGCTCCGAAGACGGCATTTTCCGGAAGCACTCAAAGAGCTCAGAGCCGGACCACCCTCTCGTCGACATCAGATCATCGTGCTTTTTCACGTTTTTCAAGGTGAACGGGTGCTTCGTAGGCTTCTTCGCGAGCTTCTCATCAGGGTCCACACAAGCATCATCTTCGGCGTCCTCTTCCTCCGGGTGTTCGCATGCTTCCTCCTGGGGCTCCTCTTCCATTGTCTCATTCGGCTCTGCGTCAGTCTTGCCGCTGGGCTTCTTCATCACAGCAGCAGCTGGTTTCTTCATCGGACCCATGGCAGCACTGGCCTGCTCGAGATCGCTTCCTCCTTAAGAGGATCTAGAACTCTAGATGGCTTGCGGCCCACCTGCCACAGGCAAGAGAATAGAACACCATGTGGCAACTTGTGTCGTCTTGCTCTTTTGGAATGGAACAACATGTGACATCATGTGTCGTTTTCGTTTTTCCCACAAAGCATCACATGATGTCATGTGTGTTCTGGTCTTTCTTCACATAGAAACACGTGACATCACATGTTCTTGGTTGTTTCGCCACAGATAATCACGTGACGTGTGTTGCTGGTTCACAAGAAGTCATGTGATGTGCAGCCGTTCGTCACAGATTGTCATGTGACGTGGTTGGTTTGTCATGTGACATTCTGTGGCTGTTGAAACGTGTCACAACATGTCACGTGACAAATTTCGTGTCATGGGATGTCACAAGATGTTTTTGGTGTGTCATGGAATGTCACGTGACGTTGTTGATGGTCTTCACAAACTGTCATGTGACGTGCTTGCTTCGTCACGTGACACGTTGTGATGCTTTGTAGTTTTGCATGGACAGTCATATGATGTCATGTGTTGTCGCTTGGTTTTCCATAGAACATCACATGACATCATGTGTCTTGGCATGCTTTCACAAAAGGAAGCCATATGCTATATTGCATTCCAACAAAAAGGCATCACTGTCTGTCCAGACAATACACCCACATGCTGCTACTGTCTGTCCAGACATTTCAGCAAGCCCACACCTTCTTTTACCTGCGTACCAGCATCGATGCTATGCCGTGGAAATCAGCCCAGCGGTCCTTGGATCATCCAGAATCTGTAGTGTCTGTCCAGACATGAACAATCAAGATGCAGCAGAAAACTTCGTTGAACCCTTGTGGTTACAGCGAAGCTTGCCCGTCCAGGCATTAAGATGCGACTGTTGACAGCATTGGACCCTTCTGTTTAGAGGCTTGTTTTTCCATACATTACGACATGTTAATTTGTCTTCCCAGACATCAAGACCAGATGCTCTTTCGCCCAGTCTCTCCGGAGTTTCCTGCGTTGCAAGGCAGGGTTCACGGCTTCTCTGGCGTCCATCTCATGACTCATGAACCTGGCCTGTCGTGGCATTCTGTGCCGGCAGAGCATCGCCACCCTGGAACATTTCCTGGTCAAACATGGATCCGGGCCATCCGAGCTGGTTGGGTCTGGCACTCCAGATTTCTGGCGTTTTATCTTCCTGGAACTCTTTTTCTTAAGGTGTCCGAGGGCGGACACCTTAAGCAAAGGATCGAAGCCCGAAACCTGGGAATCTAGGAAACCTCGCGGCATCCTCAAAGCTAGTGTGCATTAAGCAGCTTGTCTGTCCAGGCATTTGAAACCAACTTCAACATGTCTTTCCAGACATCAACACAAACTGAACTCAAGGCCAGCAGCTGTAGGATTGTGGGACTCAGGGACAGCAGCTGGAGGCGGGGGCGGTGCAGGAGTCGCAGCGTGTGAGGCTGGCGGGTCCTGGTGAAACGTGGATCATGTTTCGCTGGATTTGTTCTGTTACAGACTGTCTGTCCAGACATTAACAAGATGCAACAACTCAATGCACTCTTCAGAAGCTTGCCTATCGAAACGTACATCTGGAATCACATTCAACATGTCTGTCCATCCACAAAATATGGTTTCAAGACCAGCAGCAAGAGGGGCTCGGGATCTGCTGTCAACAGCCGGCGTTCTCGAAGTGCCCTCGTTGGATCTGTTCTATTAGACTGTCTGACGACATGAACAAGGTGCAACAATTCACTGCACTCTACAGAAGCTTGCCTATCGAAACGTACATCTGGAATCACATAAAAAATGTCTGTCCAGACATCACAAAGGATGATTTCAAGACCAGCAGCAACAGGAGCTTGGGAGCTGCCGTCATCTGTTGCAGTCCATGACCAGTTTTCCTGAATAAACATGGATCTTGGATCATTGTGTTTGCTTTGCGAAACATGTCTGTCCAGACATCACAATAGGATGATTCCAAGCTGCAGGGGCTTGGGATCTGCCGTCATCTGTTGCAGTCCATGACCAGTTTTCCTGGATAAACATGGATCATGGATCATTGTGTTTGCCTTTTTCCGAAACATGTCTGTCCAGACATCACAATAGGATGATTCCAAGCTGCAGGGGCTTGAGATCTGCCGTCATCTGTCGCAGTCCATGACCAGTTTTCCTGGATAAACATGGATCATGTATCATTCTGTTTGCTTTTTGCGAAACATGTCTGTCCAGACATCTACTTCACGTCTGCGTGCAAACCGATGCGAGCTGGCCTCGGCCTGATCGTCCCAGCTCCACCCATCGCTCCAGGACCAACACCAGTCGTTCTGCCACCATGTTGTGTCCTGGGGGGTTAATGGGTGACCGTATTCCTAAATCTCAATCAACGTACTGAATCACAACTACTCTGATGCGTAAGCTGGCCTCGTCTCCGTTCCACCTTAAATCGCCGCGACTTCCGTTCACTGCCGTGTCCTCCTGAGGATCTTGAACATGTATGTACCAGGATTTCTTGTATGTATTCTTGTCTGTCCAGACATCACTCCCACTAAGTCAGCGTGCAAGCCCTGTCTGTCCAGGCCTGCTGCCCGGCGTGGCTATGCTCTTGCCCTTGCCCCTGCATGCAAGAATCGCTGCCCGCCCAAGCATAAAACAGACAATGCATGCAACAATTGCCCTCTGTCCAAACATACCATGCGTTCAGAAATCATTGTTCGAAGCATTCAAGGTCCGGGTTCGGGCCTGCTGCGAAGTCGACTGCGTTCTCTCTCCTCCATCACGAAGTTCTGCTTCCTGTTGGGTGGGATTTATGGTCATTCGGGTTAAAGCCTCATGCAGTCGGGGCCTCAAGTCTCTTAATGAGGTACTTCACCATGCTCTCGTACGTCGCGAAGGGGTTGGCGTTGCCCCTGGAGTTTCAGGGTTTAGGGTAAGTTGAGGGTTTAGGGTTTAGGGGTAGCAACCTCGACCTCAGGTGTAGCTTCATTTGCACTTTAAATTGCCTGTCCAGGCATTCTCTTTGCAAACAGCACCTGCTCCCAACTCTGTCTATCCAGACATTTCTTGAGGCTTCAACTTGTTGACAATATGAAATGCACCCAGGCGGCTTGAAGATCCTCAAAAGGAAGGTGCGGCACGACTCGTCCTTCCCCGGCTGCCGACAGCTTTCTTTAGCCGCCAAGGCCATGAGGGCCTCCAGGTAGTCTGCGAACGGCACGTCGCAAAACGGGCCGTTCACCCAGATAGCTCGCATGTTCCTTAGATCCGAAGCCATCACTCGCATCACATAACATGTCTGTCCAGACACTAGACCTGCAGGCACGTGTCTGTCCAGACACCAGTTCAGAATTCATGCGTGGCAAGCGGCTCTCGCCACAGGCGAGACATCGTGCCCTCAGTGACCTCTCGGCGGTCGGCCATGCCCTTCCCTCCAAGAGTCGAGGGGACATCGCGACCTCGCCGGTCTGCAGCTCCTGGCCGGTTTTGGGGTGAGCTTTGATTTGTACAGTTTGGAGTGAAGGGCGGTCCTGTCCCCAGGCGGGTGTCAGAGCTTCCCTTCCCCGAGAGCTCGCCCTTCATCTTGGGCCAAAGCTAGCGGGACATGCAGACGTTGCACTCCAATCCCACCTGATCCCCAGTGTCTGTCCAGACACTAGTGCGTGAGATTACCTGCCTGTCCAGGCATTGAAAGCAACCGGAACCTGATCTCCAGTGTCTGTCCAGACACTACAGTGCGTGAGATTACCTGCCTGTCCAGGCATTGAAAGCAACCGGAACCTGATCTCCAGTGTCTGTCCAGACAGTACTGCTGGCTCCCCTGTCCAGACACTAATGCTTGCAAAGAGTTACCCCGGGCAACATTTTTTGCTCACACAGCTTCCCCAGACGGAGCACCAGGTTTGAAACATCTTGAGATCTAGATCTGGACCATCGATGACTTCGCCTTGGAATGCAGCTTGTCCCTTCGCTCCAGCACTTCGGCCAGCGACTTTCCCTGCTGGAAGCATTTCATAAGGGCTCCGGCACGACGACTGTTGGATTCCAAGTCACCCCCCGAGACTTGAAAAAGTTGGCGACCTCCCCGGATCCGCACCGCCACCCTTTTGTTCTCTGACTTCTTGTACGGCATCAGGTAAAGGTTGCTTACGTCGTCCCTTGTCAAAACCATATCTTTCGTTTGGATCTTCTCCTTCTTCTCCTTCTTGATGAGGCCCTTCTTCGGCGTCTTCTTCGGCGTCTTCTTCGGCGTCTTCTTCGTCGTCTTCTTCATCGTCTTTTCCATCGTCTTCTTCATCGTCTTCTTCATCGTAGCACCTTTTGATTTCCCAATCAGATCTTTCAAGGTCTTCTTTCGACTTGGCACCGGCGAAGTCTCTTCGGCTGCCTTGAGGATCTTCGAGGCCGGCGGGGTCTTTGGGCAACTCATGCTCTCATCGCAGCTGTCCTGGGTGGCTGGCAACTCCAAGCTGTCAAGGAAGGTCTCGAACTCCTTGGTCTTGCTGCTTGGCTTCTTCAGGATGCTGGGCGCCTGCTTGGCGACAGCACCGCCCTTGGCCTTGTCCTCGCACTTCTTGATCCTGCCCTTGTCCAGCTCCTCTTGCTCGTCCTCGTAGTCCTCGTGGAGCCGTTGCAGCTCTTCTCGCAAGTTCTGAAGCTTCATTATCTGCCAGTCACACAGGCCCTTGCAGCACTCCTTGAACCTCTGCGGGTCTCGCAGCCTTCTCGCATGGCAGGCCAATGTCATCGTTTGCTCAGCCAGCTTCTTCGCGATTGAACAGCTGTCATACCCGGCGTAGTTCTCCTTAAGGCACGGAAAGGTCATCACGAGCTTCTGGTAGACACACTTCAGATCCTGATACTTGAAGAGCAACATCGGCTGTGCCAGCATCAGTTTCTCGATGAAGGTCGTCAAAACTGCCAAGTCCGAGCCGACCACCGCCTGCGTGCAGGTGCTCACAGGATTAGGGGTTCAAGTCATGCTGCGTGCAAGAGTTCTTTGCATGTGTCAGCAGGCATGGAAGGACTAATACCCAACATGGACTGCATGCTCCCGTGCTCTGGCCTGGGTTCGCAGAACGGAACGGTAGGACCGAAAGTTGAAGTCGCCTTCCTTTTTCACAACGTCGGCCAGCAGGTCCTCCAAGTGCCCCAGGTCCGTGGGCGGCACCTTGAGCCTCCGAGCTCCGCCTTTGGCGGCCATGTCTCGGACCTACAAGCGATCTAGATCCAAAGTGATAAACCCAAGCAAACTGAGGCATCTTGTATTCAATTCTCAATTGGCTGTGCCTGCCTGTATGAACCAGTTCCTCTCGGGATATCTAGATTCCACAGCCGTAAGCCAAACTGAGGCACCATCTCAAATCTTCTGTTCCTCTCAAGACCTGATGCCCCTGATTCCACAGTGCCTAGCAAGCACAACTCCACACAGCCTGTCCATGTTTCAACAAGCAAACATCCATGTCTGTCCAGACATTACCCAAAACTGTTGTGTCTCTCCAGACATGCAACCCTATCTAAACCATAATTAGTAATACTAAACTGTCTGTCCAGACATGACTCAAAACGGTTCTGTCTGTCCAGACATGCGACCCTACTTAAACCTAACAAGATTGTCCCCAAAATTGTCTGTCCAGACATGCAACCCTATCCAAACTAAAATACAAAACTGTCTGTCCAGACACAGCCCAGAAATATTTTGTCTGTCCAGACATGCAACCCTATCCAAACTAAAACACAAAACTGTCTGTCCAGACACAGCCCAGAACTATTTTGTCTGTCCAGACATGCAACCCTATCCAAACTAAAACACAAAACTGTCTGTCCAGACACAGCCCAGAAATATTTTGTCTGTCCAGACATGCAACCCTATCCAAACTGAAACACAAAACTGTCTGTCCAGACACACCCCAGAAATGTTTTGTTGTCTGTCCAGACATGCAAACCTATCCAAAACTAAAACACAAAACTGTCTGTCCAGACACCACCCCAAAAACTATTTCGTCTGTCCAGACATGCTAATTAAACCACAACGAAAAAGTGTCTGTCCAGACACAGCCCAAAGCAATGTTGTCTGTCCAGACATGCAACTCTATTCAAACCATAACACAAACCTGTTTGTCCAGACACAGCCCAAAACTGTTCTGTCTGCCCAGACATGCACCCCTGTCTAAACTGTAGCTTAGAAGACATCTACACACAACCCAAACATGTCTTGTTTGCAAACTATAACGAATCATGGTCTGCCCAGACACAAAATAGACCCAAAAGTGTTTGTCCTTGCATGAGCACCGATCAAAAGTGTCCAGTAGATCACACGGCCGATGCATGCATCGAGAAGCGAAACACCCAGCATGTCGGGAAAAAATCAATAGCGAAATCAATAGGTGGAAAACCGTTTTTATAAAATCAATAGAGGAAATTATTTTTTCAATAGAGAATTCAACCCTCGATTTTTGAGTTTCATAAAAATCAATAGAAAATTCATTGAAACGATGTGTTTTGGCATGAGTGCACAAGAGAACCGCTATTGAAAAATCCTTGTTTTCAATAGAAGATTGATTTTGCAAAAAAATCAAGCGTGAGATTGATTTTTTTTCAATATTGGAGCCTTTGGGAAGCGAACGTGGGCCCGCCGTTCCAGGTTTGGCCGTTGCTCAGGGTCACGGGCACGAGCGCGGCCGTGATGGCCGCTTGCACTTGAGCTATCGTCCAGTAGGGGCTGAGATCGATGGTGGCGAGCGCCGCCGCGATTGCTGCGTTCATCGCGGCGGTGTTCGAGTAAGGCGCCAGCGCTGCCGCTATCGCGGCGTCCCGCTGCACCACGGTCCCGTAGGGCGCCAGCGCATCTGCGATGGCCTGGGTCATCTGCAGCGTGGTGCTGTAGTCGGCCAGCTGGGTGTCGGTGTAAGTGTTGGCCGACGCAATCGCGGCCACGATGTTCGCCGTGGACTCCGCCCTGGTGAAGTAGTCGGCCAGAGCCGCCGTGATGGCGGAGTTGGTCTCTGCGGTCGTGTAGTAACCGCCGAGCTGGGCGAGCACCCAGGACTCGCTGGCTTTCGGGAGCAGGAGGGCATCGGTTTGAGCGGTGCTGTATGCATCGCAGGTGAAGCTCAGAGTCCAATTGTCATTTGCCAGCTGGATGCTCAGCGGCGCCACGGCGTGCAAGTTGCGCGCCGTGTTTGTTCCGGCCAGCAGGTCCCAGGTCACATTCGCCGGCCAGGCGGGTGCGTTGACGAGATTGGTGGCCCCGCCCAGGGTGGCGATCTCGGCTAGGAGCCCGTCGATGGCGGACTGCAGCGAGACCTGCAGGGCCGTCAGGTCCCCGCTGGTGGCGAAGGGCCCGGCATTCTGCAGTGCCAGGATGGCCGCGTCCGCGGCGTCCAGCCGGCTGTCCTGCAGGGCCTGGCCGGCATCATAATTAAGTGCTCTGGGTCACGTACACGAGCAACGCCGTGGTCAGGTCCCCGCTCGTTTGGTAGCCCGCGGCCTGCAGGGCCGCAAGCAGCGCCTCGGCGGCGTCGAGCCGGCCGTCCCGCAGCGCCAGTGCGGCGTCCAGGGCCGTCTGCTGCACGTACTGCAGCAGGGCGTTGGCGATCTTGGTGTCCACGTCCAGCGGCGTGGTTCTGAGAGCTACGGCGGCCGTGAGGTCGCTGGTGCTGGCCATGGGGAGCAGGGCCGTGGCGATCAGCTGCGAGACGTCGGCCGCTGTTTGCCGGGCAGCCACGTCGAGAGCCAGCTGGTCCACGACCGACTTGAGAGCGTAGGTTGCAGCCACGGTGGCGAGCGTTGCATTGTTGGCGCTGGTGATGCTGCTGTTCATCGCAGCCGTCGTGGGATGGTTGCTGAGCTTGAGGTCCACCGAAGCGGGGGTGCTTTTGCCATTGACCTCCACCTGGAGGGCGTCCAGGGCCGACTGGTTGGCTTTGGTGGCCAGGCCCTGGGTCAGGCTTGTGTTCACTGCCACCAAGCCAGAAGCGTTGGCTGCGATGGAGCCCTCGGCTGCCGCGAGGTCCGCGGCCAGGGCGTAAGGGGTCAGGTCGGGAGCCGCGGGCAGGGCGGCCACCTGGCCTTGCAGGGCGGCGATGTGCCGATGTCGGCGGTGTTCTGTGTGGTGGTTTCCAGGAGGGTGTACTGGGTCAGGACGAGGGAGAGCTGCCCGGCGGAGATGCCCTGCAATTCGATGACTGGCGGGGGCGTTGTGCCGTCGTCCAGGACCCTACCGGTCAGGGTGGAGGGAAACAAACTCATTTACATCTAGTGCCCGGGCTCTGCGCCGGCGGTCTGGGCTTGCGACGTGTTCTAAGGTGCTCGAAGAGGGCAAAAAAGGCGAAACAAATCGCTCAAAACGCCAATATCATCAGTCGAGGACCGACACGCCACTGCCGCTGAGCGTACAAATTTGGAGACTTACGAGCGCTACAAAACACTGATCGACGCGGTCCGCGAGCATCGACTTGAATGTGAAGCGGCACAGGTCGCCTGAGCGCGTCGACAAACCGCTGGTGGGGTGGCGGGGGACACGCTCTGTGGGGAACGCGGCGATGAAGTTCGTGTTGTCGTAGTTCGGGAGGCGCATATTTCGGATCTTGGAGTCATACGTGCCGGCCATGATGGCGAGAAAATGGTGGTATTCGGCGATACTTTTGACACTATTTCTAGGGAATTGCATGGCCCCGAGCTGCAGCTGGCCCTCCATGACCGTGGCCGCCGAGACGTTCGGGAAGGCCTCCCCGGGATACTCCAGGTTGGAAATGTGGTTCTCGCCCGTCTTGTTGAAGTGCACGAAGGCTCCCAAAAGCTTCGTAAATGCCCTCGCGACGGTGATATTGTAGCTCGTCGAGCCCGCCGGCACGGAGCTCTGTTGCACGTGGAGGCTCGGGAAGCTGAAAATCAGCGATCTGTTGGACAACAATATGCGCTCGAAGCTCTCCCGGAGGGCACTATCAAGGGTCACCTGGTCGGCCAAAAGGTGCACGTTCTCGATCTGATACGACAGGCTGGAGCCCACGCCGGCGCGCATGGCCATCTCGGGCTCGGCGAACTCGATCTCCAGGACGAGATTTAGCTGCGGCGGGAGCATCTTGCCGCAGTTGAACATGCCGATCAGATGGGGGTGCATGAGCACGTCCCGCTTTTGCCCCGGCTGCACCGGAAGGCCCTCCCAGTGCAGCTCCTTCCACCAGTCTTCATTTTTGAGAAGGCTGTACATGAAGCAACTGCGCCCGTAGTAGCTGATGTCTTCCACCCGTTGCCCGTTGGCGAAGAGCTGGACCCTTTCGATGAAACACGAGGGGTCCGGCGAGCCGCAGAGCATGTCGCTGGAGCCGTCCGTGTTCCGGAAGCTGAAGGCCAGCTTAATCGATTCAGGATCAACAAAGTCCATTCCTGGCGTGATTGGGATCCGGCATACGCGGCTGGTGCTTGGCGTGAAGGTACTCAGGGAGCTCGGAAAGAACTGCACTGATTTTCTGGACTGAATGTAATTGGTGTTCCCTGTTTGGAGCTTGTAGTCGAGCGAGGCCACCAATTCGTCATTGACGGCTTGCGTAACCTGCTCCATCTCTCTTTACATACCTATGCAGCTTCCGGTTCGCTCGCCTGTCGAAGGGCGTCGAAGGACGGCTGGGTCCCGAGGGGTCCCCGGTCGCCGCGGGACTGCCGGCTGACGCGGGAGCGGTCGCTGCCGGACGACACTGGGATCGGGATGTTGTTCAATCCGAAAGGGGTTTGGGCCTGGGCCCTCATACATCGCGCCGGTCGTGCGGCGATGCGTTGCTGCGCCTGGGGCCGCGGCTCCTCGTCGGTGTCGCTGAGCGGGAAGACCTGGGGTCGCCGCGCGGGCTGCTGCCGGCGCTGCTCCTGGATGAAGTAGTGGTCGACGGCGCCCGACTCCTGCATGCCGTTCAGGGTCGCAAGGTCCGTGGTTTGGCTCGGCCGCGAGGCGTCTGAGTCCGTGCCGCCGCCCGTGGCTGCTCCCCAGCCCATCATGTGCGAAGCCGCGTTCAACCCTCCTTCGATGGCCCAGGCCGTTCCCACGATCGCTGCGCCTGCGCCCGCAACGGCCAGGCCTCCCGCCGCCGCGCCCACCGTGCCCGCAGCTGCGAGGGCTCCCTCGCCCAGGAGCGCAAGAGCTCCTCCGCCCGCTTCTGCCGCGGTTGCTGCTTCGGCAGCGCTCGCCGCGGCCTCCGCCTCCGCTTCCGC